AGAGTGTGACCGATGTTTTTCACAGAAAAGTCATCTTGTGATACATCAGAGAATCCACACTGGAGAGAAACCTCACAAATGCTCAGAGTGTGATAAATGTTTTTCACAGAAAAGTCATCTCGTGATACATCAGAGAATCCACACTGGAGAGAAACCACATAAATGTCTGGAGTGTGGGAAATGTTTTGCCCAATCTTCAGCAATTCGCACGCACACCAGAACTCACACAGGAGAGAGGCCTCACAAGTGTGCAGAGTGTTAGAAAAACTTTTCATTGTAAATCAAAGCTAAAAATGCATCAGAATGTCCATAGCAGAGATCTCTACCCTTTCAGTTGTGAACGATGAGGGAACTTTTTTTTTTTCAGAAGTCACACCTTACTGTTCACCAGGACCTTCACACAGTCCCAGAAGGGAAATCCTACAAATGTTTGGTGTGGGGAAAGTGTTTTTTTCTAGTGAAGCAACCTCAAATACTAGGAGAGAGTACACAATGAGGCAAAAGGGCATAAGTGTTGGGGGTGTGAGGATGTTTTCCTCACAAAGCAGCATTAGTAACTTGCCAGAGTGATTACACAAAAGAGTTATAAATGTGTGGGGAGTATGTATAATGTTTTGCAGAATACAGGTAGTCCTAAAGTTATGGCCACAATTTGGAATGGATTTCCAGTCATAAATTGCTTAAAGTCCTAAATCAAGGCACCAGGCATTTTTGTTAATTTTTACTAGCCGTTGATCAGTGAGGAGAACGGAAGATTCAGAGAGGAGAAAATGGGATTTTAGGATGCATCTGGTTGCTTATTTAGTGATAATGTGTTGATGTTGAATATATGCTGGTTGAGGACAAAGATCGAAAGTTCCTTTTTCTACTATATTTTCTGGGTGTTCCCCCCCCCCCCCATCCTCTCTTTCCTATATTCATACACAGATATTTGCATTAGGTTTCTTGCTTTGATATGTGAATCTAATCCTTAATAAAATTATTGTTCAAAATCATCAAGAGGGCTGTTTTCAGGGAGAGCAAAAAAAGTCAAGATGGGGGGTCCGATTGTGCCATGCTCTGCAGTCAAAGTCCTGCTGCTTTTTAGCTGTGTGTGTGATGCCCTTCAAAACAGCCGCCATCTCGATCCTTTTGACTCCGCCCTCCCTCGCTGGAGACTTCGGACTTCAGGATTGAATTGAAGGACGTAGATTTCAGAGGAACTTTGGGAAAAATGTCCTCGTGGGTTGAGATGGACCCCC